TTTGCCAAACTGAGTTCCAGGGAATTCCAGGTAACACTTTCTGGCAAAATGTTAATAGCTTTTGAAAAAGGGTTCAATATTCAAATAAGTCAGGGAAGCACTGCCTACTCCTCACCCTCTTAATACAGTATCTGTGCCCATGAGCATATTAAAGGGTTGGCAACGCCATCTGGCAAAGAAACCTGCTTTATTTTAATTCAGCACAGCATTTCACAAACACACCTGACTGTGGAGTCTCTTTTGGGAGCCCAGGTTGGGAAACACTAACCTACTACAGAAGTTGGCAAACTTCTGTACACTTTTTCTGTAAAGGGCCAGATAGTAAGTAAATATTTTAGACCTGTGATCCATATGGTCTCTCTCTGTTCATCCTGTTCAACTCTGCCATTGTAGCATGGAAGCAGCATCAGCTGATTTACAGCCACTGAGATTTGAATTTCATATAATTTTTACTTGTCACAAAATATTCTTCTTCTTCTGAGTTTTTTTTTCCAGCCATTTAAAAATATAAAAACCATTCTTAGTTTGCAGGCTGTGCAGAAAGGAGAGGCGGGCCAGATCTGGTGGGGCTGTGGTTTACCGAGCTCTGGGCTAGCGGAAGGAGCCTGACGCTCCAGGCCTTGCTCTCACCACTCCTTTCCCTGCCTCTGAACAGGGGGTGCTCCAGCGGTGTGGAACCCCTTGCGTCACCACACCTGAGCCTCAGGCAGCACCTACTGTATAATTTGCCGGGCCCAGTACAAAAATGAAAATGCAGGGCTCTGTGTTCAAAAATTATTAAGAGTTTCAAGATGGCCACAGCAGAGCACTAAACCGAGTGCGGGCCCGTCTAGAAGTGGGCCCCTCCTGACTGTGCAGGCTGTGCACACAGGAGGCTGGCTTTGACTCCAGACTTTTGCTCTTTTTTCTTCAGTCTGTCTGCCTCCTGTTAATCCGTCAGAATGCTCCTCAGGCTCTACTTCCCTGACCAACTCCAGCCCTCAGGGCTTCTCCACTGTCTGTGTCCCCTCGTTGCCTTGCTTGGGCCACACTGGGCTGCATTTATCTCTTTACACTTCTGCCTCTTTGTCTCTCCTACTAGACTAGCAACTTCAGTAAGAAAAATGGTTTTCTCTGTTTGCGGCCCAAGATCCTAAAACAGAGTGTGGTACGGAGCAGGTGTCAGAGAAATAGCTGTGGCACTGAATGGTGTGGTAATGCTGCCAGTAGCTGTCTCCTTTTGAAGTTTACCCACGATCTACTACAAAATTAGTACAATGTACTGCAAATATTTGCCAGGGAGACACCGAGCATCATCACACACGCTCAGTTTAACGGGGGCCATCCATCAGGAGTCAGAGCGAGCCCCAGGGCAGCTCGTCATTTTAGCTCTAACTGACAAGCTCATTCCAGTGGATTGTGAGGACAGAGGGGTGCAGCTCCTCCACCTACGAGTGTGATTGTGTTTCCCTTCTAGAAGCTCTGCGATGGCTGGGACTTGTTCACCACAGGTTCACCTGCACGGGGAACAGCACCTGGAGCATAGTAGTGGGTGCTTGATCAGCATTTAGGGAGTGAATGAATGAAAGAAAGAAATCCTAAAGGATAGCCATAGGCTATAAAAGTGCTTTGTAATCTGAAACAGAGCGCGTGCTGTGTAATTCAGTGGTGAAGTTATTTAAGGTGGCATGGTGCTGTGGACAGAGCCCTGGACCAGGAGTCAGGAGTCTTGGGTTCCAATAATAATAATGACAGTAACTTCTAGGTTTTGCGTGTGCTAGTACCATATAAGTCACTTTATCTGGCCACATCATTTAATTCTCACACACCCCAAGAGGTGGGAACCATGGAAGGAGGTGAGAGAAGAGTCGAGCCACCTGCCCACAGCGCACAGCAGTTGCTTGGAGCGCCTGCGCTTGGTCCCAAGTCTGATGGAATCAAAAGCCTGTGCTCTTCCACCCTTGTAGTCCTGGCTCTCCCTGTGACCTTAGACCTTATAAAATAGCGTTCTCAATCTTCTCATCTGAAGAATGAAGGTTAGACTAGCCAATCACTGAGGTTCCTTTCAGTTTGAAAATTTGGTGTTTTGAAAGTGGGGAGCTTGGTCAGGGGGTAGAATAGGTGGTTTTGTTATTGCTAGTTTTTCTTGGTTTGTTAGTTTTTAAATATATGCAGAAAGGGAAACCTTGAGTCTTTCTGGAAAAACTTAAAGCTTATCCCCCACACTCTACTGTGGGAGAATAACTCTCTCTTCTCCTTTGACAAAATGTTTTATCCCGGACTAGAGTCCAGTAGCAGCATAAGATGCTAAGCTATTCCTAATGTCAATTTGCTGATAAAGAAAGTGTTGTATTTTACTTCTAAGGGTCTGCATTCATAAACACAATACACGTTTCAGTTCAGAGGC